TATATGATGATGTTATTTACAAATAATAACAATTTTGTCTCATCTTTTCTTATCCTTATTCTTATTTATTTTTCTTGTCTTATCATGTTGATCAGATTTTCCAGTACAATGTTAAAGGTTGCTGTCATAGCTGATATTCTTGTCTTCTTCCTAATTTTAAAGGGACCATCTGTGAAATGCCTCCATTTTGTATAATGTTTGCTGTAAATATCTGGTTTATAGCCTTCATAATTTTAAGAAAACACCTCTCTAGTCCTAATTTTCAAAGATTATTTTAAACATAAATATGTGTAGAACTTTATTAAATGCTACTCCGTATTTAAGGGGCCCTGGTGGCACAATGGTTAAGTGCTTGGCTGCTAACCAAAAGGTCAGTGGTATGAAACTACCCAGAGGCTCCACAGGTGAAAAGACCTGGCAATCTGCTCCCGTAAAGATTGTTGTTGCTGTGTACCGTCAAGTCAATTCCAACTCATAGCTATGATACATTCGTGGCTTCACAGAGGGTCCCAAGTGGGATCAAGTACCAGATGCCACAGTGATGATTGGCTTGATAATGCATCCTTGGGTTGACTTTCATCCTTCCGCATTTCACTCTTCCCAGTCCCTCTCTCCTGTTTTTTGCAATCACTTCCAAAAATAAACTACCTTCACGAAAGCCCTTATCTCAGTTTCTCTTTTGGGGAAAACTAAGTTAGCATAGTTAGCATAGTTCAGTGAAAGAACAGACTATTTACTCAGCTAAAACATATTTCATGTCTAGTCTGGGCCCAAGCATTGGTATCTGAATTTTACCAATGAGGAAAAACAATTTAAAGATTATCCAAACTCATCCTACAAGTCAGCTGTAAAATCAGTTTTTCAGTCATTTGTCCCTATGGCTGTAGCTTGATTTTTTAAAAATGATTTTTATTAGGAAAACCTACAAGCACAGACATGTTCACATCAGCTAATTTATTTTGTTCAGTATCCATGGTGCCTGGTAGTACAAAATTAATACCCTTGGCATAGGAGTAGATGGTTGAAACACCTGTAAAGTTCGTGCATCAATGGTGTTGTCATCTTTGGGGGTTACTTCAACAATACTTACTAAATTAATTTTGAACAGTCTCTTTTTTTAAACTTTGCACTTCAAAATGTATCACATATTGCAAGGATAGCACAAAGAACTTTCGTAAACCTCTCAGCGAGATTTACCAGTTCACATTTTGGCATATTTGCTTTAGTATTTTCTGTTTATATGGATATTTTTTTCTGAACCATTTGCAAAGAAGTTGTAGACATCCTGTCCTTGACCTCTAAATACTTAAGTGTGCATTTCTTAAGAATAAGAACATTTTCCATTCTCTTACATAACATAGTACAATGATCAAAATCAGGATGACTATCCTGGATAAAATACTATTGCCTAATCTATAATCCTTAGTTAAATTTTTCTAATTGTCCTTTAAGCAAAAAATTTTTCTAAATATCCTTTAAGCAAAAAAAAAAAAAATTTTTTTTTGGTCCAGAATGGTTAAGTTAGGATAATGCAATAATGCATTGCAGTTAATTGCCATGTCTCTTTAGTCTTCATTAGTCTGGATCATGAACTGTCTCATTTTTTAAAACATAAATTGAAAGACTTGTAGTTGTTGTTGGGTGCCATCAAGTCCATTCCAACTCAGAGTGACCCCATGTGACAACAGAACTGCCTCCCAGGGTTTTCGTGGCTATAATCTTTATAGAAGCAGATCACCAGGTCTTGCCCCCTCAGAGCCACTGGGTCTGTTCAAACTGCCAAATTTTCGGTTAGCAGCTGAGCACTTAACCACTGTGGCACTTAGAGATAAATACAAAAAATTGCAAAATGCCTATTGTCATCAGCAGAGTGCATTGAAAACTTTTCCTTAATACATCTTCCATACTTCCTTCATTTTATAAGCACATCTTACAGTGTAGTTACACACACAAATCCCATCTTTTTAAATTCTTTAAATCTATTTGAAGCAATATGGCTTAATTATCTTAAGCACAGATGCTGGAGCCAGACCACCTGAATTCTAAACCCAGCTCAGTCACTACTAGTTTTCAAACCATGGGAAAAGTCCTTAACATCTCCATGCCTCAATTTCCTCATCTGTGAAATGGGGACAATAGCATCTACCTCACAGCATTGTTGTGAAGCTTAAATAATCAAATTCATCTACAGTGCCAATGTTAGTTAATGTTGATTACTAGTCCTTAAAAATATCATGTTAATTCTTTTGGAGGTTGGCAAAACATTTGAAAATAAATCTACCTTTCTCTGGGACTCTTTAACGTAGCAAAGTAGTTATATTACTTTGCATTTTTACAACTTAGAGTTTCTAGATGATTTCTATTTAGGTATTGTATAGTTATTAAGATAACAGGTTTGTGGAGGGAGTATAGATATTTGACAAAATCTGAGCTCTGCAATTAATTAGCTGTGGGATCTTGGAGAAATTATCCTCTTTGTACAGATGAGGGAACTGAGTTTTGAGTTTCAG